TATATACTACATACTTTATGGGTCTAAAAGAAAAACACAATGAAAAGACTGGGGTGAGGAGTAAAAATTGAATAGCCTACATTTTTGGTGCTAATCATTACTACAGAATGTGATTTGCAAGCTTCCAAATGTGAGGACTCACAGAAACACAGTGATATTTTTGTCTTTGTGAAAATTGGAATTTGCATGTCAAATTTCATGAATCACACTTTATTTATTTTTTTCCAGACCATCCGCAGACTCGCCGCTAGAGGCGCTGACGAGACGGGACCCGTTTGAGAAGTGAAGATGGAAAAATAAAAAAAAGGAAACAGCACACAGTATACATAAAAGTCCTTTGATTTGATGTTCACGTCTAATTTGTCATGGTTTTTGAATGAAAAATAAAAAAAAAACCGCGCTGCAGATATAATCTTCATGTTCTGTAAATCAGTCCTGTATATACTCGCCTCAACATGTTTGTGTCCCTCTGTGAAATATTATAGCAGCAAAACATAGGCTACTAAAATTGCTCAAAACGCTGCAGTTCAAATTTAGGCAACAAACTGGGAAACTTGCGGGTCTAACAGAAGAGTTGTCTTCATTCAAGCAGATGAAAAAGTAATTTGGTCTCAAAAAAAAGAAAAAAAAAATCTTGCTCTGCATGCTCAAATGTGTTATTACATGGAAGCCTACAGTTGAGTTATGTTGCTTGTCTAACCCAAAAGATGGGCCAGCTGACGTGATATCAGCCACATAAAGGCATTGTGTAAAATTAATGCATTTGCAAATTGTGAACCTGCCCTTGCATGATGGCGGATGAATATGTCCGTGGGGCAGACCGCAACATTACTATACCTCACCAGCAGTGTAGCATCGGCCGCCAGTGGCGTGGACATATCATATGTCAAATTAATTGAAATTAACAAAGTGGAGCACCCGCGTCTTTCCTCATTCACGAATGCTACAATGTAACGGACCGCTTTGATCGCAGTCATCCGGAGCTCATGTTTGTGTGCGCGGTAAGATCACATCCCGGTTCTCTCAAATGTGATCTGAATGTGTCGTGCAGTGCATGATCTGTTGATTTTTTTGTATTTTTTTTTTTTTTCCATTTTCTTGCGGAGCTGCTTTCGAAATAAAGTTTTGCAGCGAGTTTGTGTTGCAGTGAATTGTTGCATTGCTCGCTCTGTTCTGCCGGTCATGTGTTTGGATCGACCGGAGGCTTTTGCGGGGAATTTGTGGAGTTGAAATCAGACGGGGTAGGGTACAATCTGAAAACACAAAAAAGCACACGCAGCAGCCATGTTTGCTGAATTTTCCTGTGAATTTCACGGCGACTGGAAAGAAAGGTTGGCTTGAACTGTTTCGGTCGTTCCCTAAACAACTTCATGAACTGAACTTCGATGCAGATGAGAGTAACGAAAGTGTGATTACAGTGAAAGACGGCATTATTTTCGATGAAATTCGAATGTAAATGTCGTTTTCGTGTTGGCAGCGAAATTAGCGCCATCTGTCGGTAGATATTTCGAAAAATTAAGAAATTACAATGAATTTTGCTTGCGAGGATGCATATTTTCATATTCGACACTAATTATAGCCGCTGTGGTTTAGTCTGTTTGTAGATTCGTTTGTTGCGTTTATGCCTTTAAGACAAACTTCATCATGCTGTTTTGTGTTCGTTTAAATATTTACATATTTTTATCAGTCGAGCTGTTTTGAAACGCAGCACATTTCCTCAGTGTCGTAAGCAAACAAAATATTGTTAAATGACAAGCCACTCTTACCAGCTGGCATTTTCCTTTCACACACTATTGATTTATTTTCTTCTTCTTTCACAGCTCAACTGCAAATATTGTAATGATCAGTCAGATCTGACAGTGGGTGCAGAATAGGTGGCATTTGTTCATGTGTCATGAACAGAAAGCAGCTGAGCAGTCATATGTAATGGTCACACGTGTTGGGTGTCTGAATAATTTTGCTAGCTACATGAGGGAAGTGAGAATATTTGGAGCTTCCTATTCAATGAACTGCAAACAGCTATTTACATCAAAGTCGCATTGCATGGAACAACTGCGTTAAAAGACTCCATTTCAAATATTTAAAAATATTTTGTAAAAATGGGGAGAAAGTGTGTCAGCAGATTTTATTTTTTTCAGTACTTCAAGTACCAAATGTGTTGACCGTGATTAACAGTTGCTGCGGTCATCGTAGATTAAAGGGTTAGTTCACCCCAATATGAAAATTCTGTTATTAATTGCTCACCCTCATGTCGTTCCAAACCCATAAGACCTCCATTCATCTTCGGAACACAAATTAAGATATTTTTGATTGAATCTGAGAGCTCTCTGAGCCTCCCATAGACAGCAACGCAACTGAAATGTTCCCAGACAGAAATGTAGCAAGGACAATCGGTAAAACAGTCCCATGTGACATTAGTGGCTCAACTTTAATTTTGCAAAGCTAAGAGAAAACTTTTTTGTGCGCAAAGAAAACAAAAGTGATGACTTTATTCAACAATTCTTCTCCCCCGAGTTACTGTCTTCTGCCATTTTGGAGAGTATCACTAATGCATACGCACGCTTTACCCTAAGTGTAAACAATGCTGATTACGCCGATTACGTTAATGTGCGCGTTTCCCCCCTAATGTAAATAACACCGATTACGTTCTTGGGTACTTTTCAAAATGGCAGAAGACGTAACTCGGGGGAGAAGAATTGTTAAATAAATTGTTATTTTTGTTGTCTTTGCGCACAAAAAGTATTCTCGTATCCGAACCACTGATATCACATGGACTGTATTACCGATGTCCTTGCTACGTTTCAGTCTGGGAACATTTCAGTTGCGTTGCTGTCTATGGGAGGGTCAGAGAGCTCGCAGATTCCATTAAAAATATCTTAATTTGTGTTCCGAAGATGAACGGAGGTCTTACGGGTTTGGAACAACATGAGTAATTAATGACAGAATTTTCATTTTGGGGTGAACTAACCCTTTAAGCCATCATTGCTTTGAGTATTTTTCTCTCATTCTTAGTCTCGTCTAAGAGTAGTGGTCTGCCAGAGCACCACTGTGTGACGAACCCATTGCAGTTGGTGTCACAGCTGATACAAAACAGCATACGCAATTTACGTTAAGTGGATACTCTCCAAAATGGCACTAGGGTGATTTCTTTTGCGCTCAAAAAGTATTCTCATAGCTTTGTAAAATTATGGTTGAACCCCTGATGTCACATGGATTATTTTACCGATGTCCCTGCTATGTTTCTGGACCTTGATCGTGCTGTCTATGGGGGGGCCAGAGAGCTCTCAGATTCCTTCAAAAATATCTTAATTTGTGTTCTGAAGGTGAACGGAGGTCTTACGGGTTTGGAACGACATGAGGGTGAGTAATTAATGACATAATTTTCATTTTGGGGCGAACTAACCCTTTAACTTGCTTTCTAGATGGACAACCATTTTTATATGTGGAGATATAGTTTTATAAGTTCTCTTTATTTTTGAATTCTTACAAATCACCTTTACTTGTACTGAATACACAAATGAGACAAATGTGTCCTTTGTGATCTGGTGTTTTCTCATCATCTCTTTCTGTCATGTACTTAGGCCTGGGCGATAAAATGGTATCGATATTTATCGGCGGTACACCTTCTTCGATAACGATATAAAAAATGTTCGATTATAGCGCACGATATAGGCACGTGCTATGAGTGACGCAGACAGCACACACAAACACGAACACATGCTGAATTGAGTGCTGTGCCTGTCTGTGATGAGGAGATTGTGAATAAAACAATTAATATTAGTCGAATTTAAAATAAACATTTGCATTTGAATGTTAGGTGTGCGTCAGGGAGCATCCGTCAGTGGCGCACAAGATAAGGTGATAATGATGTAAGTGACGTTGTTGCATTTTATTGTTTTGTTAGTCTTGCCTACGAGATGCGCCGCTGCTGTGTTATGCATTCAAAATATTAGAGAAATATAGAAGCTCAATGCGGACTGAAAAACTGAAAACCAAGCCATTCACACAGAACGCATATTTAGCGCATTTTTTTAGACTGACAAATATGACTGCTGCACTCGCGTCTCACACAAGAGATGTAGCCATGCAAAGTTAAAACAGTTTAAACTTTTA